TGGGTACCAGGGAGGTGGGGGATATCAAGGAGGAGGGGGAGGGGGATATCAAGGAGGAGGAGGAGGCTATCAAGGAGGTGGAGGAGGAGGAGGTTATCAAGGAGGAGGAGGAGGTGGAGGAGGAGGAGGTTATCAAGGAGGTGGAGGACACCGCGGAGGAAGAGGTCGAGGGAGGGGCAGAGGAGGAAGACACTGACACTAGCCCCTCGTCTACGTTTGTTGTCTTGTTGCGTTTGAAATATTGTTTCCTGATTGAACCTAGAAGCTCGGAAATCTGCGAGGGAAAAAAAGTGGATTGTTTTTTTGTTGTTGTTTTTTCTTCATTCTTTGTTTTCATATTGATTACGGATAGTTGTGCAAACTCTGAGGTTGATCCTTTACTTTGTACAGTCTAGCAGGCACATAGCTAAAAACACATCACAAACAGATTTTTTCAGGTCCTGAAAATTTCCTCATATATATATTTTCTGTATTCAGCAAAACGTGCGCATACCGTCAACAATTCATGCATAGCAAAAAAAACTGGCATCAGTTGGGGAATGTATATTATCAGCGAGTTTCTTCTTCAACATAGATTAAAGCTCAACATTACATAGCAGCTTGCCGGTGTTCTGCAAGAGTAGGTCTATGTGAAGATGTAGCAAAGAGTGGACCATCATCATCATTGCCTTTCTCACCCTGGATCAGGATATAGGCCACGAACAAACACTTTCCTTTTTTACTGGGTTGGGTAGTTGGCCCTCCGCAAACTGGCACTTTTCGGGTGACCTGATGTATGCACCTTTAGTCGCCTCTTATGACACGCAGTATCATAGCAGGTGTATTCTTTGCTCCCCCATAGTAAAACTATTGGACTCCCCACCTGCCGGGGCGAAAGAGTGGACCATGGCGGAGCAAAAGACACCTAAAGACTTCTTGGTTGAGGAAAAATGGCAGATCCGTGTAGAGGGGAATAAAAAAATCAATGTCAAAAACTAAAATTGTGAAATCTGCATATCTAAGTAACAATGAACCCAACTGAACAAGCATGTTGGTATGGAATTTGGAGCAAAATTCATGTAAAATTTGGACAGAATTGTCCAACTTTGTATTTCTCCGGTGATATAGCCTGAAATTTGTACATGATATTAGTAAAAAGATTTCTAAGTCCTGTTGATTTTGCTATGTGCATGCTAGACTTTTTTTCTTCTTTGATTAGATTCAGGTTTGAAAGACAGTTTCTGGCTTTGCAACAGCAACTAAGTAAACACTTGGAACTTTTTTAGTTTTGTCTTTTTAATTCTAGTCTGCTCAACATCTCCAAAGTTTTGGTGAGGTGTAGATCTAGATGTATAATAGCTGCACAAATTGAAGAGGAAATATATTTTGCTCTTCTTTACCAAGAGAAAAAAACTCTGGAGAATTAGCTTCTCTCCTTAGTTAGAACAATATAATGTAAATGTATTCTTTGTGTTTATATATTATATTTATAGCGTAAAGGTCAGTGTATGTCAATTATGTACAAATGTTGTGACTCAACATAATATGAAAGATTAATGAATGACAGCGCACCTCAACGACAGTCATGCTTGGCTACTGACTTGTAATACTGTGAACAACAAAGGGCATTTATTTATGATCAGGTACATATATATATATATATTTACTCCTGTGTAAAATGGTTCATCTTCTCAGGAAATCCACTCGTGTTTGAATGAGAGGTGGGTTTACGCATTCTCTGATTTATTCTTGGAAGTCTTTGCAGTTATGTGAGCTGTGAACGTTATAATATGATCTCTCTTGAAGTTGTGACTTAAATCGATGGACACTGAGACATTGGGTCTTGAAAGGAAGGACATTGAAGGAAAGAACAAAATACAGTGAAAGTAAAAGTAATTATTTTATCTCGTTTCTTTTGATAAATTGTGAGCATGATGTCGTCTATATAAGGGTAACTTTTCTTATTAAGGTCTGACCAACTCGAGACTGAATAGTAGCGAACTGTGATGTCTGGTCAGCATGGTTGTGTGTGCTTTAGTAACACTAACCCTACGTTTGATTGTGTTTTTTCATGGCTAGACTAGCTATAGTCTAGTATAGTGATCAGTTTGTGGGTGTGAAGCAAGTCCACGCTTGTTCCTGTTGACGCCTGGCTGGTCGGCTCTGTGGTGGCGTTTATGACCACTGATATCTCAACTAACAGTTGTTGTTTTATGACACCTTTACTTTACATAATACCAATGGACTGTGATGCCATTTCTTCTTAGTAGCTATTGTTATTGTATAAGTATAAGCTCGTGAAGACGTCGGTTACTTGCCTTGTGGCGAACGTATTTCCATTTTCTTGCAGTTTTTGCTTTTTTGATTAGGAGGAGGGCGTTGTTGTTGTTGTCAGCACTTTCGGGGATTTTCTCTGGCTTTAATTTCCGTTCAGTCTTCCACGGCACTTGTCACTTAGCAGGGAGATTGTATGGATGTTATGCATTTTTTATCTAGGCATGTTGTTTTGATTTTGGTGTGTGGTGGTGTAGGTACTGTTGTTTGGTGTCCCCCCCCCCATGAAAGTGTGTGTAAAGAATGCTTGTTGATGATTCTTCTTGTTACAACATTAAATAAAAGTTCCCCTGGTTACGACATTGTGTGAGACTTTGAAGGAAGTTGCCCGTGTTACGACATGTGTATGTGGCATTGAAGGAAGTTCCCCTTGTGCCACAAGTGTATGACATTAAACAATTCAATGCTTTCAAGTTGTTGGTCGAGTTCCCTGATTTTGTCTGCTTTGTTCAATAAATTGAGTGATTGCTACTGGTGGGGGTATATTTTTTTTTATATGGAGGCCTACCGTTAGAGCTTAATAAATGGCTGTAAAGGCTGAATCAGAGGAGCGATATAAGCCCATGTTGTGATGAGAAGCATGATGTTTTTCTTGGGGGTTGGCTGTTCAACTTATTTCACGCCTCTGAAAAAAAAGACAATCTTTTTTGTAAAATTGTAGTTTTAATCCCCTATCAACCTTGCCTGTGTGGGCCAACCAGGGCTGATAGGGATACAACATCCCAGCAGAAAGACCCATATACTCGAACAAAATTATCCCCATTTGGGAATTGAGAATTGAACTTGGGTCTCCTGCGTGCTACAGCGAAGTACCCCACCACACTAGAGAAGGGGTAGCCTGAGCACGGAAGGTTTCAATGGAATGTGGGAAGATTGGAAGTTTTGCTCAACTCCTGAGTCTTTCGTACCCCCCCCGGGGCTGTGCCACTAACTGAAGTGTCTTTTGGCCGTTCCCAAAGGGTGGACATTTCTCGTTCAAGCATAGAGTAGAATTGTAATGGGCTGACTCGTGTACCGCTCATAACTGTGCCTGATCTACAACAGGGAACTGCTTCTTTTTCTTTCCTGATCCTTACTATTGTCATTTTCCTCTGCTTCTTTTAAATGTTTGTCTCTCTCTTGTGACCTGCTATTTTGGGGTGCCTTGATAGTCGAAGCAGACCTTGTGCTGTTGAAGCTAGAAAGGTGAGCAGTCTAAGTCTGATTCCCTGTAAAGACTTCTCTGTTGACACCCACCCCTTGGCGCTCATATATGACCTTTTGCAGTTGTGAGCGCCATAAAACCCTCTACTATAAAAAAAATGAGTCTTTCGTACCGCTGCCCAGAAACAAACGATGCTGTTGAAGCCTAGAGTTTTATTTCACTTTTCAGTGATTTCTTCAATTGTCATGAATATTCCCTCATTGCAAAATCAAAATCAGTGCATACAGATGTCATTTTACTTCATCTAGCAATATATGCAGCGTTCGTACGGTTCTTGGAAAACTGGGATACTCTTGGAATGTTGTTTTTATTTTTTTGGGAAGTTGGCAAAAGTCTTGGAAAAACAAATTTTAAACTAGATACTAGATCTTTTGTAAAAATATTTCCTCAAAGTTTAGAAGGCCTCGACTTTACGCAGTCAGAAGTGTACCATATATATTTTTGCATGCTGAACGAAAAATTTTCTTCCAAATTGACATGTTATGTCTTGAAAACTCTTGGAAAAGTCTTTGGGAAAAAAATCTGCTCAGTATGAACCCTGAATATGAAGTATACACCAGCATGCACCTTGCCAAATCAGAATCCTTCTGGATTGTATAATTATAATGGTCTGTTTAGTAAAAAAGTGTATACATGTACAAGTTCCGTGAAGTGATGGGGTAAACTCATTTGGATTTGTCCGTCCAGTGCCTTAAACTTATCTCACTTAGATCACCTATGAAGATGGTGCAGATGCTCCTTGCCAGAACATGCCATAAAGCATTGACCATTGACAGAATAGGAAAGGAATATCTCACCAATAATTTGACCAGAAACGGGGTGGTTTGATATTGTACCCTCTGGAAAATAGGACTTGTCAAAGAAATTGTTAAGAATATTTCTGGGTAGGCTACATAGAAGTTTAATTTAGTTTTAGTAAGAGTTTTACCGCATTCGCAACACAAATAGGTCTTGTAAAAGCCAAAGATTAGAGATGTTACCACTACAGAGCAACATACAGAGGAAAGGAGAGATGAGGACAACAGATGTTTGAAAGGAAAAAAGTACAAACAACACCAGAGCGTCTGCCAACCACCCACTAAAATTGAAGTGGGATTGGGCTTCATCAGCAGATTGGTGCAGGACAAAGACAAAAAAAACAGGCGTATATCGTCGTCCGGGTGATAAGACCGGCTGACCCCAGCGGGGTAAATCTTTCAGTGGGAGCAAAAAACATTTATGGTTTCATCACGCAGCAACCTAGTACTAGTGGCCAGTTCAATTTTTTAACATTTGAGGAGCATTTCCAGTCAAAATTCAGACCTGTCTTTCTTAGACTGAGCGTATGAAATGGATAATTTACAATCTATTTGTGAAATAGAAACAGTTTGTGAGGCGTGCTGACAAAATGAGTTACTTCTTGCAATCTACAAATGGAGATATTGGCCAAAAATCGACACTAGGGTCAAATTTGTAGATTTTTTTTATTGATGTTATATATATTCTTTAACTACAACATGCCTTTTATTTTTTCATACTTATAAATTCTAAAAACTTCACCTATAACTATAAGTGTGATGAATTTATTTCCGTGAGGCTTGAATCCGAGAAATAACTCATTTTGTCAGCACGCTTCACATTTGATTTTTTTTTTTTTTTTGAGTACAAGGTTTTACAGCACTCGCAACTGCATAAGGTCATATGAGTGCCAAGGGGTGGGTGTCAATAGAGAAGTCCCTACAAGGAATCAGACTTATTCTGCTCACCTCTCTAGCTTCAACAGCACAAGGTCTGCCTCGACTATCAAGGCACCCCGGAAAGTAGAGGAAAATGACAATAGTAAGGACTAGGAAAGAAAAAGCAGCAGTTCCCTATTGTAGATCAGGCAGAGTTATGAGCATGACATGATGAATCAGCCCATTTACAATTCTACTGTGCTTGCACGAGAAATGTCCCCCCTTTGGGAATGGCCTAAAGACACTACAGTCAGTGGCACTGCCCCGGGGGGAACATTTGATATTTGAGGGTTATCTGGTCTTATCACAAGGCATAAGGGTGACAATATACAACTAATGTAATATTTAACAAAACGGACATTTTACTTTAACAGGCATACAACACAGTCCAACAAAATTCACTTTGTACTTTGTTTTTATTCAGACTTTGAAGCATGGTACATCATGAAAAAGATTGGTGATTGAATGGAGAATTAATTACAAAAAGCTTACACATGATATAAATTATTTATATTATTGGAACCTGTCCTTAAATACAAATATGTTCACTCTTTCCCTCAACTATTGTTGCATTAAAAATCTTCAAGATAAATGTGATGTACCATGAAACCAATCCACACAGGAGCATCTGATTTCATCTATATTAACCTGTCTCACCATTTCAAATTCAAATTTCTGGGATGAAAAATAAATGTACCTTGGGTCCCAGCTTTTTGGAAGAATGACATCCACGAATGTTCGCAGGCACAACTGTACAGGTGTTTACATTCCACTATGCTTTTTATTACTGACAATTATAATAATGATGTAGTCAATTTCTCTGGAACCCATTCCCGTACAATGCAGCTCTTGGCCCTTTACAATACCTGTATCTTAACACAAAATACATCTGCATGATCATGCACACATACGCTCTATATGCTGACACACAAAAGCAAACATTCACACAACTGTGGCACAATCAACAACAATACACACTTCACATTATGAACAAAAGACTAAGATTTGCCCCCGACTTTGTATCCTTCAAATGTTTAGGAAGAGAGTTCTAAAAAGAAACAGATGGAGTAAGCTGGTTAAAGGACCCCCCTGTGATTTTGTTAACCTCCATTCCTTGTTGCTCCCAAAACACACTGATCTCCTGACTTTAAAGATCTTTGTGGTACATATTTAAATGAGGCTGCTTACTAAAATACAAGGGAGCTTTATGGCAAAGGACTTCAGTTTTGTAAGTAAATTTAGCTGTTATTGGGAGCCAATGGAGGATTTTTAGGCAGGATTTTCATAGCTTGGTTTTGAAATCGCTGTAGTTTCAAGATGGAGATGTTCAGAAGGTTTGCAAATAGAATGTTGTCGTAATCCATGAGGGAGAACAGAAAAGAGAAAAGTTAGGTAAAAAGCAAAACTGAAAGCACGGCGACCAAAAAGCATCGACTCTCTAACACCACAACAAAACAGCTTAATTTTTTTGTTTCAATGTAGGTGTTTTTACATCATCGACACAATTTAGATAATCTAGGAGACAGGCTTGTGACCCTGCCTGCCAGGGGCATCCCTTACTGAGAGGGAAACAACATCCCACAGAAAGACCGAGATGTGGGAATCAAACTGAGGTCTCCTGCGTACGACACCAAAGCACTTAACCTGCTACACCAAAGATGCTGGCACTGTTTAATTTTCCTTCTACAATGATAAAAATCAAGATAAGTGTATCTATTGACAACCATACACAGCACAGCAAAACATTCACATTCCTGGAAGAAATCCCATCAGCATGCTCCACAAAGCTTACCGTTTTACCAAGAGAAATTAAACCACACCCTGTCATGCTTTTGATCATGAGGTACTGCTGGCGTACATGTAATTTTATTTTACAGGCTGGACTGGAGTGGTTTTTGTTCTACTACACTTCTCAGCTTCCTTAACGCTTTGCCATCACAAGGTTCATACAGAAAAAACCCTTGCCATCACAAGGTTCATACAGAAAAAACCCTTGCCATCACAAGGTTCATACAGAAAAAACCCTTGCCATCACAAGGTTCATACAGAAAAAACCCTTGCCACCACAAGGTTCATACAGAAAAAACCCTTGCCATCAAAGGCAAAGTAAAACCCTTGCCATCAAAGGCAAAGGCATTTTGGGGAAAATCCAAAGAAACTGGGTGGCGTCGGTGGCCTAGTGGTTAGGCTCTTGGACTCGCAACCGTAAGGTTGTGGGTACGAATCCCGTCAGGGGCCCGACGTTGTGTCCTTGGGAAAGACACTTAACACAAATTTTCCTCACTTCACCCAGGTGGAAATGGGTACCCAGCTATAGACAGTGAACGATCATGTCAGTTTGATAGTGTTTGAGCGCGTGAAATCCGCAGCTTGCACTGTATGCTTCCGCGGAAGCTAAGAATGTTTCTGAGTGTTCTCAGAGGGTCTGCTGGAGTAATAACAGTTGTAAAGCGCATAGAGCATGCTCTTGAGCATGGATATGTGCTATATAAAAGCAATTATTATTATATTAAACATCGGTGAGATGTGACGGCAAAGTGTTAAGCTGTAAAAATTTGCACAACTAATGACAGACACACACACAGAGGGAATCTCCAACATATATGTACAAAAGTAGTACCTGGACTAGGTGTAGGGGTACTATGAATATGATTGTTGTTTATTTCTTTCAATTTCATCTGTGTGCACCATACGTTATATAATACATATATATATCATCTAACCAGAGATGAAAATCAGTATTACAGCTCAGAACATGCAATGGAACACAGTTTGCACCAAGTTTAATTTCTGCTTTCAATAGCTCTAGACAGAGATTCCCATATCTTTTCAAAATGTTCTGTTATAGATTGATAATATGTGCAATGCTGTATGTGCAATGCTGTTGTCTGAAGAAAAAGTAATGAAACATGAACTATATTAACCGCACAAAATGAAATACTTCAAAGTCAAAGACAAAATGAAAGGAGACGAAATGAAAGGAATGTTCTAACAAGTTGTACATATTATTTATAATTTATATACACACTGCCAACTTCATGTTTTAAGAAATGAGGAGAAGAAGTTGACCTTCTTTTATCTTAACCATACGTAACAGAGGAGTAGAGAGTTATTGCTCTTTCACAATACGTCGGACACAGAATGAGTCATGAGATTTTCATTCAACTAGGGGTCAGTTGATTGTGACACTTTCCGTGCAGGTGGGTGTTCTTGTGCGGTTTGCTCCCTTCCTGTCAAATTTCTGAGCATCATCCTTTTCTCTTCACTTCCTTTTTTTTTTTTGTATGTAACTCTCTAGCAACACTTTTTAAATTTTCGGCACTTGGATGATCCTATTGGTGTTGCGAGTGCGGTAAAACTCTTCCTTATAATAAACTAACATCCTTGCACATTCACACAAAAATTTTGGCCTGAATCACCCTATGCAAGACTGAGCAAATGACAGGATAAAACTTCCCACTGCGATAACTCCACTGTTCACAGTAAACAACTACCTTTGTATAGCCACTGCCCACTTTTGCCACCTTTAAGAGAATTACATTTTCGTACCTCTCACCTACATGTATTTCCAAGCGGGGCGTCACCAAAAGTAGCAAATTTAATTACCCACCAGCGGGAGACACTGCCCAGGTTGGCAGGTAGCGCAGCAGGCTGTATTCCACACAGTCACATGTATGTATATTCCACACTGTCACACATATGTATATTCCACACAGTCACATGTATGTATATTCCACACAGTCACATGTATGTATATTCCACACTGTAACATGTATGCATATTCCACACAGTCACATGTATGTATATTCCACACA